AGTTTTCTTTTTGTTTAAATTTAATCAAACTTTAACCATGGTGGTGTATGGTTAGAAAATTTTGATGTGTCATGGTTTTGGAAGGCACAGACAAATCATGGTGTCCTGTTCTTTTTGGTGTCAGATCAGATTATGTGTTGCTCTGTATTTACAGGACTTATAAATATCATGAAGAGGTTGTTTACAATAAGAAGTAAAAAATACTGTAACTGTATATTGTTAAGGTTTGATTTGTTTGCCGATGACAGCATTAAAGTTAACCCAAAAACTGCAGAGGAGCTTTGATGTAAACAACCTGTCAGTGAGCAGTGAGACTGCTTGGTGCTGGACATATAGTGCTTTGGTTTTCTATTGGACCTGTGTGTGCACGTGGCTGCTCTGTGTAACAGCCAAACACGATAAAGGTTCAGCACAGCCTCAGTGTGGATTAGATCAGGGAGAAGGCTGCCCATCTCTCTAAGGTCTCACGGTCCATGAACTGACACAGACGCTTTACTCGGTGATGCTGCAAATTTTTGGACAGATCACAGGACTGTAGTCAAAAATCACAAAGTGATGTTGACTCTAAAGATGTTGAAACAAGTTCATACATGTGTTTAGTGATTTATTTCCTGTTGATTTTAGGATTATCTCAGTGAATTGTGGGGAAGTTTGTCAGTTGTGTAAAAGAGCATGTAGGAATTAGATGTTGAGTGACTGCCGGTATTTACATAGGTGAGCATTTATAAATACCAAACATTCTTTAGTGTTTTTACTCCAATGCTCCTCAGGACATTGAACAATCCTGATGAGATTTTTCACACTTTACATGCATGAATACAGACACGTATCATATGTCTTGTTGAAATATTTAAAATTTTGGACATTTTTATGTCTCATCCCGTTTTCTTCCCATCTCCCATTTCTCCATTGCTGTGACTTGTCCTGTTGCAGCTGTGCTGCTGTGCAGATATGATGAGCAACAACAGCCTGACTCCCTCCTATTTTCAGTTCACTGTGTTTGCAGACTATGGGCCCCTCAGATATCTTTTCTTCAGTCTCTCTCTGTTGATCTACGTGACTATAATCTCTGCTAATGCTGTCATTGTTCTGTCAGTCTGCCTGGAGACTTCTCTGCATCAGCCCATGTATGTTTTCATCTGCTCTCTGTGTTTAAACTCTCTGTACGGCTCAACTGGCTTCTTCCCCAGGTTCCTGGTGGACCTTCTGTCCGACACTCATTTCATCTCACGTCTATTCTGTTTTATTCAGATGTATGTTACTCACACTTATTTAGGATACGAGTTGAATATTCTCACAGCCATGGCCTATGACAGGTTTACTGCTATTTGCCAGCCTTTACACTATTGCAGTAAAATGATGCCTAGGACGGTGCTGCTGCTTTTGATTCTTGCTGTGCTGTACAGTTGGTGTTCTATAGGCTACTTTTTCTATCTGGCCATTACTTTGCCTTTGTGTGGAAACAAACTGCACAGGGGGTTTTGCAACTGTTGGACTATAATCAATCTCTCCTGTGAGGACACAACTGTAATCCAAATGGCATGTCAGTTTGTAGCTCTGACATCGATCTTGATCCCCTTGATCTTTGTCCTGTACACCTACCTGCGCATTCTGCTTGTCTGCAGGAGAAGTTCATCTGAATTCAGAGGAAAGGCCTTACAGACCTGCCTGCCCCACATAGTGACCTTTGGAAACTATTGCATCTCGCTTGTCTGTGAGATTTTACTTAGTCGATATAATGTTAATGAAGTAAATCCATCTGTAATTGTTGTTTTATCTCTGGAGTTTCTGATCATCCCTTCCATCATTAACCCTCTAGTTTACGGCCTGAATCTGCCTCAGATCAGAGGAGTGATGATTGGATTTCTAAGGGCAGGAAAAATGTGATCAGAAGGTGGTCAGTCTTTTACATTCTCTGTCCAACTCACAGCTCATCAGATTAAAATCTGTCTCAAAAAATTCCAGCCAAGTTGGAATACCACTGGATATGATCTTCTCTGTTTCCATGTATCTTAATGTCATATGCTTTGTGTAATAACACATTTTAATCACACAGACACTTTAAGGCCCTTTTTCAATTTGGACTTTGTGTTAGTGGCAAAACCCACTACAAAACCAATACTGTTTACTTGCCCCTTGCATGGGGATATGTACATGCACATTGAGAGCTGAGGTACCAGAGTCAAATTCCTCGTGTGTCTGACACACCTGGCCAATAAACCTGATTCTGATTCTGACAAATGTTCAGTTAATTCATGTATGAACTGTGCTGCCCAGGTCATAATCTTTGCTCACAGTACATTTACAAGCTTGGTCTTGACCAAACACAACACTAAAATGCCACTCAAAGGTCAAAGTGTTTATTTGTCATATGCACAGTTAGGAAACGTGTTTCCCTGTACAATGAAATTCTTACTTTGCCGTCCATATGAATGCCACAAAATACAAATGAAATATAAAGTAGATAAATAAGTAACACAAAATCTAAGGCACTTTAAGCAGCAATGCAGCAATATGATAAAAATATACAGTATAATAAGAGAATGTATACTACATGAGAGCAGCATGTGCAGCAGTCAACAGTCAATGTGCAATTATGCATGTGCAAACTGAGAATGTAAACAGTACAGGTTGTCAGTACATGACATATTTACTGGTAATAAACCCCCTTCCTCTTCTTTGGAAGGGGGACGATGGTTGTGGTCTTAAAGCAGGTGGGAATGATGCTCTGGCTGAGGGAGAGGTTGAAGATGGTGGTGAGAACATCAGCCAGCTCACTGGCACATGCCCTGAGAGCCCTCCCAGGGATGCTGTCCGGTCCTGCTGCTTTGTGGGGGTTGATCTTCCTCAGGACTGTGCTTACCTGGCCTGGTGAGACAGTTAGTGGAGGGGAGGTGG